CACTAAAATGAAAAGAATCATGTGTAACCAGTTTTTCGATGTATAGCATTAAGTTACTTTCAATTTTTACGATTATTGTGATAGTTTATGTTGTATTATATTATGTGTAGTGGTAAGTTGTATAGATGTTAAGTTATTAAATGTGAAAACTTGTAATTGGCCATCACTAGCTATTATCAATATGTGCACTGTCCTCTCTAGCTGTAAGTTTTCCAAAAATTATAAAATAAAATAAATAAAATAAAACCTCCTTTTTAAAGCAAGGCCTAAGTCCAGCAGTGGACCATTTAAGACTCTTATTGATGATGATGACCTTAATGTTTGTTGTCGTAAGACACAATTAATAGTAAATAATAGTGATATTAGTGAACTAAAGTAGCAGTACCCATCAAGCGGTCCAAACACGCTGCGCAGTGGTTACTGCACTATAGATTAATGTGCCGAGACTTTCACAAGCTGACCCAGGAATTTTCAAAGCACGTTTTAATGAACAACTATAAAATTTTTTGTTGCGCTTAACTCCGCGAGCGCTGATCCAATTTTGTTAAGAATTTAACAAGCAGATTCAGGAACTATCAAACTACTCCTACTTTTCAGTTCATCACTATAATATCTTAAAGACGAAAGTATATGTGTTTGTTTGTTACTTCTTTACGCTCAAACAGATGAAACGATTTTGATAAAATTTGGTATGGAGGTAGTTGACACCCTGGATCAATACATAAGCTACTTTTTGTCTAGAAAAAATGTGGTGTTTACGTGGGTTGAGCAAGATCTGATAAATCGCAGGTAACAACAAGCGGGAAACAGCTAATTTTTTATCAAAGTTTTTAATTATTTTCCTACGCGGACGAAGTCGCGGACTTTAGATTAGACCCATGAAGATAAAAAATTTGATGGAGGTACTTTATAATTAAGAAATATCAGCATTTTCAACTAATTTGCTACAGGTATGATTAATGGGGCTAAGTGCTCTCGGAAGTTTATTTGAAAGTCCTTAAAGTTTTGGCCTGAAACTTGGGAGGATGTAGTTTATAGGTCAGATACGTTAGGACATCTTTTATAGCAGGACCAGATTAAGAAAGGTACTGACTTAGGCAACTTAATGTATATATTTTGTGTCTTTTTTGTTACTAGATATATATTATCCCACCAATAACATTTTCATGTATAATATTGCAAACGAGTCTAAATGGTTCGCACTGTTAAAAAGTTATCAATTCTCATGTAGAGCCAAACGCTACCGTCACATGAGCGTAAGTTGAAAAAATATTCAATACAATAGTTCTTGTAGTAACGATTGCCCAGATGAATATTAATTTAATTTTATTTTAAATAAATAAGCTTTTTTCCTAGAAAGCTGAGGTATGTAAGCTACCCTATGAATTTTGATGAACATCAGCGAGTCAGTGACGAAATCGGGCATTTTTAGATATCAATAAAATCTAAAGTGCAAGAGCTATGCTATTAAAACTTTATATTTTTACTTTAAAATCTTCGGACGGGATCGGCCCTCTTCCGATCCCGCTCTGCGGCCTCCTTTTGGAGCATAACGCCCCCGCAGAAGGAGACCGCGGCTGCCCATCCCTCGCCGCTCGCCAGCATTGCCGCGATCAATGCTGGCGGTGACAGGTTTCGTCCGATCTGTCCGACCAAGACTCGACGTTCGGACTCCCATGCAGGCAGTTCTCCAGCGTGTGCTGGGCGGAGTGGTGTGGCACGGCAATGGTGGCATTGTGCCATAACCTCCCGTCCAATTCGATTCAGATACTCACCGAAGCAACCGTGCCCGGTAAGCATCTGAGTCAATCGGTAGGTGACACAGTCGTTCTTCCCTACCCACGCTTCGAAGCTCAGCAGAACGGCTAAGACAGCTTGGCTGCTGCTGCTTCCTGCAGTTGGCTAGCACAGCTCTGGATTAAAAGCGGTGACTGCCACGCCCGCAGAGCCTTCGTATGCGCGTTCCGCCGTAGCATTCCGGGCTCATTATCCGGCGCGGCCTCCTCACCATTTCGACCGACAGAACGAACTTGGTCATAGACCATCGCGTCCATGTCGGCCAGAATATCGAAGGGTGGATAGCGATAGGATAGGATAGATAGACCAGACGGGCGCCCCATAGAGGACCATGGATCGCATGATGCCAATGTAAAGACGGCAAACTTCATCCCATGATCCCCAAGATTGGGCAGCAGGCGATGCAGTGCACCCGCACTCAGGGACTAATTGCTCGAAATGCTCTTTGAAGCTCCACCAACTGTAGAGGATGAGGCCTAAGTACATCATGTACCGGCCCACCTAGACTTCAGCGTCACCCACCCGGGGGCATGAGCTGTGTGGTTCCTGGCGCTTACGTATGCCATGGAACCATATCGCCTCAGTTTTCTGATACGCCACCCTCAGACCCAGCTCATGAATCTTTCCCACGAACAAGCCACCCCATGTTCGGCGAGCCGTAGCACCTCATCGAAGTGTGACCCTCTAGCCAGTATTAAAGTGCCGTCAGCATAGCAGACGACACTAAGGCCAGAGGGCAGACTGGTGGGAAGGACCACATCATATGCGAGGTTCCACAACAAAGTGCCTAAAACAGAGCCCTGGGGAACCCCGCAACACACCTCTCTCCGATTTTCCATACCGATAAACTTCACTATCGCACAGATAGGCCCCAATGACGTCCCGCAGGTAGAGCGGGACCTCATGAAATTCAAGGGCCGCCCTTATCGCCTGCCAGGGGAGGGTGCCGAACGCGTTGACAATATCAAGGCTAACCGCCAACGCCACCCCTCCCTGATCGGACTGCCGACTCCAACAAGGAGCGACTCACCAGACAGCGTCGACTGTCGAACGCCCCCGTCGGAATCCAAACTGGCAGTCCGACAGATAAGGGCCTACTCGCGACAGGTATTCCTGTTGAATGATACGAATGATACGATCGTAGATAACCCTCTCAAAGAGTTTCCCCGACTCGTTCAGCAGGCATATCGGTCGGAACGCAGAGGGAGAATCTGCAGTCCTACCTTCCTTTTTCAAGAGCACCAGTCTCGCTTCTTTCCAGCCGAGGGGCAAGACACCGAGGCTAAGACAATCTGTGAAAATCCGCCTCAGTTTGTCCCCCAGTACCGACAGAGCTATCACCAGCGCCCGACCTAGAATACTATCAGGTTAGGGCGCAGTGTTGCGGGAAGCCATCCAGCCGCCGCACAACTTGGTCCAGCTCTTTCTCCGTCACCTCACACTCGTCGGACATGACCGTGGGAAGAGCGTGTCTACCGCTCTTCCCACGGTCTTGGCCTCAGCGATTGCATCGCTGAGAACCTTTACAGCAGCGCCATATTCCCGCCGTGCTACGTCGATCTCCTCGGCTGTAGCTCGCCGTCTTCTCCGGGCTCGAAAATACTATAACTAACTAAACTAACTATAAGATACTTCTCAGCTGCGAGATCTCCACGCTCCACCAGTACGCCGAGCCCTTCCAGCAGTGCCTCATACCTACTGTAGAAATATATTTTTTTGCGTTTACGAATTAATGAAGAAAACAAGGAAATACCCAAAACTATAAAAATAAGCGTACCTAACAACAACCGTAGGTATGTAGATATTTAGAGAGTAATCATGTTATCTCCGTTAGATCTTTTGATCCGTATTCAAACACACCAGCACAAACATATTCAATATTTGTTTGATTAAAATGTAATCTTCGTTATTTTCCACTAGAAAACAAGTACCTGTACCCTTGGATCAATGGCAGGACAGATATAACATCGCTTTCCCCATACTATCAAACAGTATCAAAACAATATTGTTCGATTTATATAAAAGTAAAAGATGTATAAGATTATCACCAAATACGGGTTTCCGGATAAAACTTAAGGTTAGCTTAGACGTTTCTGTAATCAAATTTCTTAAAGGAACTATTATTGTATCTAGAATACATTAAATAATTTATTATTCTTATAGTAAATAGGGCAATCGTGTAAAAAATGGAGAAATCTATATTTACACAAAAACAATTATTATCTTACAATTTATAAGTTTTTTTCTAATCGTTAGAAGATTGTAAATTGAAGACTGTAAATTGGAATAATCCATCTTCTTTATTATCTTCTATAGCTTTTTTACTTAAAGCTTCATTCGTACTGGGAAAGAGATCTTGCATAGCAATAAATGGTAAGCATATTAAAAGACTTTGGTGTTGGTGTGTTGGGGGATTGTATGAAATGAAACATGTAAATTTGACTAAGTATATAGGTGAAAAAGTATGGGTATTTTAAAAGGGGTCTATGTAGGGCCTAGCACTGAAACACCACCTACCCGGATTTCCTATTGATGCCATAAGATAGTGTATTACGAGTATTAGAGAGAGAAATTATTGGAGATTATTATTAGAAAGTTTATTAGAGAAAAAGGAACAGCGGAGTCTTATTAAACGATAATTACTATTATTCGATAAAGGTACAAATAAAATAAGAACTTTTTATTTCTAGTTTCAAGCACAGATTTCGTATTTATTCTTGGTATGAAACCTGACAGTTACCTGAAAACCTGTCAAACTTATTTATATAAGGACCTATTTATTTAACTGTAGTCAATTGATTTATTACAATACCTCTGTTTTTGTGTGCGATCAGTAACATTATCTGTTTATCACGTAAACAAAAAACCTCCAGGAAACACGCTCTTATGCTAAAGCCAAATGAAAATACATTGAGTTAATGTGTAATAACAATATAATTATGCCATAATACGTACAATTGTAACACGCTACACCGTTTAGATAAACAAGTGGCAATGTTGACTGTACATACAGCCTTATCTCATACTATCTACTCCCACCGTTTGGGAAAATCCTCTGACTGTGTACAAACTACAGGTGGTACGATCTGATCCCTTAAGTACACAACTATCGTATAAAAGGAGACGCTACACCTTACAGCTTCATAGAAACGAAGAATAAACGAAAGAACTAGGAACTCGAAACTTCGAATAATACTCCAGTCATGTCTTCGAAAATCGTTTTGGTTATTTGTGTTTTGGTAAGTTTCTGTTTATTTATAAAATGCTATAGTATATTTAAACTTTTGCTTACAATTACATTTTAAAATATTAAAATAGTATGAAACTATATTTATTATACTCGTTACCTATTTCTCGAGCAAGTTTCTATGTATGGATTCTACGTAATGAATCTCACAAAAGCAATACAAAATTACTTAGATATTGAATGGTTTCAGTTGTTTTGTATAGGTATTGTTACCTATTCATCAATATATTGTCACCTATTGTAACGTGTTAAGGAAATTTTCCAATTATTGTTTAACATAAATACACAATAACGTAATTAAAGTTGTTTTATCGACTGTTCAGGTGGCCGTAGCTGCCGCAATCCCAGCGCAGGGTGGACCTGGTGGCTGGGGCGGAGCAGGCGGTTGGGGAGGAGGAGGTGGTTGGGGCGGTGCTGCTGCTGGTGGTTGGGGCGGTGCTGCTGCTGGTGGTTGGGGTGGACCAGGTGGATGGGGTGCTGGTGTCAATCCTTGGATCCCTCCATGGGTGGCAACAGCCCCCTGGTACCCACAGTGGGTTTCTTGTACCGGTGTTGGAAGCTCCTGCCTGGATTGCAATACAAGATTAGTTTGCACTAAAGTTGGTGGTCTTCAACGCGCTTGCACTGACCCTACCTTGCCTTACTGCAACCTTGGAGAGTGCTCTGCTACCCCCTCTGAGGGTTGTGGACCTGTTCCTGCAGTCCCCGCTGAAGCTGCCGCTTGAATAAGATGGATGGATCTTTAACATAATCTTAGTCTGATAATCAGTTTATGGATTTTATATAAAAGATTTTTATATTAAATTATTATTACCCAAAAATTTTTGTATCTTGTTACAATTCTGTTATGTTATTTTTACTTCAAACAATTCAGTACAAACATGTAAAATTTTATTACTAAGTTAGTAAATAAATTAATCTAAAAAATATAAATCTTCAGTTGTTTGAGTACAACCCAGTTCAAGACTGTATTTTAAGTATTAGCTTAAACACATCTACACATGTATATTGCAAGATAGCGCTGTAGTTTGGGTCATGGTTACCTTTCTATTTTCTGTTCATGCGTTGTGGTTTAAGCGGTCAGCTCGTCGCTTCCTACTGATTTGAGTGTTGAGGATTCGATCCCAACCTGGGACAACACTTTGTATTATGCACAAATGGTTGTTTTGAGTCTGGGTGCTCATGTCTGTTTCATAAAGTCCTCCACGCCACATGACATATTTCTAGTGCGGGAGTTGTCTATTTAAAGTAATTATATCAATTCGTCGCAGGAAGTACTTGCTATAATTGAATTTAAGGAAATCGAACAAACATTATTACAGTCTATTCAAGGAACTAATTTAAAGTAATTACGAACCTGACAATTTCCCCGATTCCTCTGACAACGCCTAATTTAATGATGATCGACTGCAGGGTAGTTCTGACGTGAAAGAGTAAAAAGCAAGTGTATTTTAAAAGAAGAAGTAGACCTACTTACATTCGCATTTAGAAGCACCATCTATATGTAGTCTTAGGGAAACGCTACCGAAAACGAATACAGACGACAATAGTAATGATACCTTAGACGATTAGTAAAAAAAAAGATTTCGAATAAAACAACTTTTACAATCTTTTATTACCCTTACTCATGTTCCATTAGTTTCCCGATCAGCTGTTTTGATTGGGTTTTCATCGCTTTATTGTTTTCTTTTTTGTAAAGTGATGTATATTTATAAAATGACCCTTTCACTTAGCTCTACACAACGTGATGGAGTGCGGATAATAATTACCATGGATATTGAACCGTGAAATCGGTTAGATATTTTGACCTTTTTTTTTTTTTGTCATGGTATAAAAGTCTCCCTCTAGTATATACATACAAACTGACGTGTCTATCTGCGTATCTATCATATATCAATTATTCATATATTAAGGACATATTTCAACTGCAAATACTACATCATCATTTCAAACCTCAGTAGATAGCTCGTTCCAAAAAATAAAACTATAAGGACCAGAATGATATCTTGTTTTAAAACCTTTTAAAAATATTGTACAAACATAAATATTTTAAATTAAAAAAAAAAAGAACATTTGTTTCGTCTGGAAAGTTAAGTGATATTCGGCAATTACAGCGGTGCTTTTGATGTACAGGAGAATTGGATCGGACATTACAAGCGTTTTCATTCCAATATTGGAAAGCCTTATCGTTAATCGTTAATGATAGTACCAATAGAAAAACACTTATAGAAGTAAAAATAGTTCAGGAAGATTAAAAAATTACAAAACTGTGTGCTTTATTTTTCAAACGCGACATAGGCCACAAATGGCCAACGCTATAATATTACCTGCCTAAATCACTAGCGTTCGACACATTAGCAGAATCATAAACGTATATTGGTATTGGTTGTGGGCTCCGGTTTCCGCATTTAGAATCAAGATGGTCCTTTATGCGTCGAGGACAGGTTGGCTAGGTGAGCCAACCAAGCTCCTTCCAGAAGCGCAGAAGCCTCCTGGGGCGTTCACAGGCTTCTAGGAGCGATTTTGTATCGGGAATGATACTTGCCCGTGGTGTGGCCACACCCTCGCATTCCACGATTACATGGGCTTACCGTTTCTTCTGCATTCAGACAAACTCAAACTCAAACTCAAACTTTCTTTATTTCATAAAATTTTCAAAATTGTTTGAAATCGTCTGACATCTTCTGCAAAGAGGGCTGTCCGTCGCATTAACGGTGAATAGTTGTCTGTTCAGGGCTAGGTGTCTTGTTAGGGTTCCTACAACTATTCGAATATCTAGTCTACTAACACTGATCAGTCTGCAAGTAAGTCGTGGTGAAACTTCAGTCATCACCAGTTTGGACTGTCTGCAGCCGGGTGAGTTTTTCCACCTTCGGTTGTGCTCTTCACGAGTATGCTGTCTGAGTTATCAGGGATCGAAGTTGGTTAAAAGGCAGTGCCAGCAGTATAGTTATGCCGGTGGCCAGGATTGCCGAGCTCCTCCTTGCCAACTCAGCTACGGCGTCGTTCCCGTGTGAATTACTAAGCCCTTTAATCCATTGGAGTAGTACATACTAACTACATAAGCGTACAAGTAGTATATACTAACAAAGTACAATTTTATTTTATTACTTATATACGCTCGAGTTTTCTGTAGTAAACTGTTAGTCCATTAGCTTTAACAACCTCAGTAAGAGAAGATTTAAAAAGATAACATCTCTATACAAAAAAAAATATCTATTACAAATATATACTTTTAAGAAATGATGCATTTAAAAGTTTAATGAAAATAATTAGGATAAGACCCTGCTCATTCTGCTAGCGTGTGGGAGGTAATGAAGCCACATAGATTTTTACGTGATCGCTACGTGTAGGAGTAAAACGGAACGCACGAACGTAATGAAAATGATACTGAAACGGAAATTAATAAGATTACAATACTAAATTAACTCGGACCTTTTTTTGCAGTATTTCCTTTGTATTAGCCTAAGCCTAGTAAGTATTGCCTTTCTATTCTTTATCGACATATCGACCTAAGAGGTCACATCAGGTACGTCTTCCAAAAAAATGTATATAGTAAAGTGACATATAAAAAATAAACAATTAAAAAGTATATGTTACCAAAAATACTACACTTGTTTAAAAATTTATTGCATATAACACAATTATAATATCATTTTATCTAAGGAACCATTATTTTCATTATAAAATAAATACTAGATGCACAGTGACGTATTGTCTTCGAAAATAATTTATTAATGAAATTAGGCAATAACAGTGAAGTTATAATATAGTAGATAGTAGAAGTAATAATAACAAACTTAATTGTAACCGATACGCAGAGTATTAAAATAAAAACTAAAATATGTTGTAAACAGCAATAGGTACCATAACAGTTAAATGTTTCTTTGTCAAATCCTCTTACTTGAGACAAAATATCGGAAACATCGATAACATAGTATCTCATAATCTTGATGATATCTGCTTACACTCGGATAATATCTATCTTTTGACGTATAATACGGAGCAATATTTTCTGTTGACAATGATTCACCAAAGAAGTACCTACATATGTGAAGTACGTGTCTCATAAATACGCACTTATGAAATATGATATCAATAAAATCAGTTTTAGCGGCAAATTTCCTGGTGAAAACAACATATTTAATAACTTTCGTTGTAGGAAATTCCAATTGAAGTTTGAAATATCCTCGTATATGTAATCAAATTAAAGAGATCTTGATAAAAAATTGATAAGTGAATGTATAAAAGGATTGTATTCTTCATAGGAATCAATCAACGGTAAACAATGGCTTCTATGCCAAAGGTTTTCATCTTTGTGATACTGGTATGTATTGAGATATATATTTTTTCTATGTTATTCGGTGTCATGACAATGTTCCAAATAAAGTCTTTTTCCTAAACAAGCAAAGACACAGCCGTTATCCGACTCAAAACATTATCGACTTCTGTAACTTTGTTGTTGATATAGTTAGAAAGAATCCTGAATTTTCAGTGTTAATGTAAATATTTTATATTATTTTATGAATTAGTATTCTGTTACGGTCCTAAACTATGTCATGGTTATGAATTTTCTACCTCCTTTGTTGTTACTCAAGTTTATGTTTAATATTTCAGACTATCTTAACGGTGGCACTAGCTCAAATATCTCAAATTGAAACTAGAAAAAAAGGGGTTTTCAAATAGCCGACCAACAGGTGTGAAACCTGTTTTATGGGTAACAGGACCCCATGGAACGCATGGCAGTACTCAAACTTCGCAAGGAGGAAACAACACCTCTCAGAGTACACAAGATGGAGTTCACACCTTGCAAGGTGGTGCTCATCAGAACCAAAGCCGATTTCGAAGGGACACGCAAGGAGGACCTCATGTAGATCAAGGCGGTAGTCATGGCTCGCAAGGTGGATCCAACACTTGGCAAGGTGGTGATCACCAGAGTCAAGGCCGAGTCCGAAGAGATACACAAGGTAGACTACATGACGGTCAAAGTGGTAGTCATAAATCGCAAGGTGGAAGACACACTTCACAAGACAGTGGTCATCAGAACCAAGGCCGGATCCGAAGGGAAACGCAAGGAGGACCTCATGTAGATCAAGGTGGTAATCATGGCCCGCAAGGTGGACCCCATACTTGGCATGGTGGTGATCATCAGAGCCAAGACCGGGTCCGCAGAAATACACAAGGTAGACCACATGAAAATCACGGTGGTAGTCATAAATCGCAAAATGGAAGACACACCTCGCAAGGTGGTGCTCCCCAGAACCAAGGTCGACAACGCAGAGACACACAAGGTAGACCACATGAAGATCAAGGTGGTAGTCATAAATCGCAAAATGGAAGACACACCTCGCAAGGTGGTGCTCATCAGAACCAAGGTCGGCAACGCAGAGACACACAAGGTAGACCACATGAAGATCAAGGTGGTAGTCATAAATCGCAAGGTGGTGCTCATCAGAACCAAGGTCGGCAACGCAGAGACACACAAGGTAGACCACATGAAGATCAAGGTGGTAGTCATAAATCGCAAAATGGAAGACACACCTCGCAAGGTGGTGCTCATCAGAACCAGGGTCGGCAACGCAGAGACACACAAGGTAGACCACGTGAAGATCAAGGTGGTAGTCATAAATCGCAAAATGGAAGACACACCTCGCAAGGTGGTGCTCATCAGAACCAAGGTCGGCAACGCAGAGACACACAAGGTAGACCACGTGAAGATCAAGGTGGTAGTCATAAATTGCAGGGTGGAAGACAAACCTCGCAAGGTGGTGCTCATCAGAACCTAGGCCAGGACCGCAGTGATACATAAGATAAGCCACACAAATATTAATTCACTTTGTGAAAATGAGTAAACAAAGTGGCTTAAACAATAATGGAACAAATAATATTTTTTTGATGTACACAATAGTGTATTTTTTTACAAAATATTTATAATGTTACAATTGTAATACAGTATATTGTAATTTATGATGTAGTAAATTTAGTGGAGCAATAAATATTTCTAAATATCGAAATTGACTAGAAATCTTCACATTCTTTGATAAATGTAGAAGCATGGATTTTATGGTGTATTTGTTAAGAAATCAATTTATTTTCAGGGTTACCAATCGGAATGATGTCTCGATTAAATCCTTTGATGCGGACAATAGCTTTAATTCACATTAGAGAAAACAAATGTTTTTAATAAAAAGATGAATTAATGTCTCAAATATACAGTGCCAGGCATTCAAAATTCTTCTAAACGATATGTGTAAACTTGCTATTTCTCGTTCATTGTGTGTTTAATAAGCTGTTCCAACATGTTTCAACCCATGTCAGTCTCGGGTGCTGGCGGTTGGATTCATTATCTGAAATGTACACATTTAAGAAAAAATCAACCGCATTGGAACATGCGCTATAACAAAAACCTGGCACGCCTTGTGGTTAGCGGTTATCTTTGTTTGGTTAACAGTTAGCTTCGCAGATTAAATGGTTGATTGTGATGTATCATTTTAAATGAAAACAGTTGAAAATATTTTATTTTAAATTTGAAAATCAATAATAAATGTTTTTATTTTAAATATACGTTTTTTAACTAATGTTTAATTGTAAATTAAATTTAAATTGTAGATTTATAAAACTAAATTGCAATATTGAAATAGAAACGATTGAATTATTTATAACTAGACAAACCTTAAATCTTTGTGGTTTGTATAATAAAATGGTTAGGTGTTGCAAGTCAGTGCAAGTCTAAATTTATTACATATAATATTATGTAAAATGATTAAGCCTTGAACGTAGATGTCGTTTCTAGGTCACGTGTATCTAATTATATTCATTGATTAAGAAAAACTTAAGGTGAAACTATTGTATTTACACGGTCATACACTTTTAACGATCCAGTACATCAATTCACTATTCTTGATATACATAGGTTCCTGTCGGATCATTCATAAACATAGGTTAATAAATAAAGGCTCTCCCCGATTAGGGTTTTGAGGCCGGCCATCATAGTGGTTTTTTGTAATATCACCACAAACTCTTGGCTTCTGTGTGCCCATGGAACCGGTGATCTGAAGGGGATTTCCACCCTATCGCAAAAAAAATAATGAACGAGGATTACAAGTACTTTTGTATTATATCGTGCTCTTCTACTATTTCAATACAATTAATAGCGAAGTGGTGACAATATTTGCTAACTAGTACAAAACTGGTGGTTGGCTAATAAAACATTACTGAAGTACGGTTGAAGTTAAACAAGTTGAAGTACGGTTAACTGATATTTTACTCATTAACTTTAATATACTTACGTACCTGTTTGAATATATTAGCTCACAGAATTAATAGAATTAGATTCAAGTGAATTTTAATCATTAACTTAAAAACATTAGGTTCATAAAAAATTTATAACCCTCATTAAATAGTTATAAATACTTTTATTTACAATACTAATTTAACAAGAAATGGAGCTGCTACTTGATGGCATTTTAGTTGTAGGTATAGTTGATGAAAATGATGAGATGGCCACAATACATACTAGGTGTATAACCATTTAAGTATTGCCATATTAATAATTAATTTATCCTAAACACTTTAGTATCATTTTTATTCTTGCTAGAAGAGACTGATCATATGTCGATAAGTTTGAAAAAAGGATATTGAAAATCAGTCATGAATAGACGGAGTAATCGGTGAACATACATAAAAAATACAGGGAAACATAGAAACTTAACCTTTTTGAGGTCGATTAAAAATGGCAATCATTGTTACAACCGCACTAAAACGACCATATCGATAAAATTAATTATCGACATTATAAACATCGGTTTACAAACTTTATGTGTCTATAACAATAAAGTAATTAACCACTGTATTTTTATTGGGTAATAACCACATCAATGTAAAAGTGTCAACTAGATTGTAACTGCATAGTTCAATTAACTTCTTTGTCGGGTTAACACGTCATAACTTAAACTTTCAAAATGGTAAACGTTCAGATGGTCCTGTTCTTGTTCGCTCTTCTGGTAAGATTACTACATTTATATCTATGATCAAAGTTACTAATTTTCTTTTTATAAATATAAGTACACAATTGCCCGCGACTTTAGCGTAAAAGTACTGTAATTTTTCTATTTTTCAGACGTTTTTCGTTATAAGTAGATACGCGATTCGGCACCGGATATTAGGGGTTACAGTAGGACATTGTCGATTTATACTGAAAAATTGTCACTTTTTTTCTAATATATAACAGATTGAAATCAGAATTAAACAGAAATCCCCTCGGATACCACCCACCGGTGGTTACATATACGTTATATATAAGCGTGTGGAGCGCGCCGTATCCATGGTCCGGCCATCGCAGTCAGGCGCGGGCTCCTTGCGGATCAGACACAGGTGATCTCTGAAGCATCCTTTCCCGTGATCACCTGCGTCAACCTGTATGAGAGGGTTCGGTGATGCCTCTAGAGGCAATCCTCCATAAAAGGTCTTAACGCCGCGATGGTGTGCCCAGCGCTCGGTTGCCCAAGTCGTTCCTTCCACTCCTCCACGAGGACCTGGCGAAGTTGGGATTTCTGATCCTCCATTTCTGAGCCATCAAGTACGAGACCCAGATACCACATCGAGGGCTCGATGCCGATACGAGTGCCTCCTACTATAAGGCTGGATCCCTCAGGTGGCTTCCGCCAAGGCCCGTGAAAGAACAAGGCCTCGGATTTGTGCAGAGCCACCTCGAGACCCAGCCGCCGGATCCGCTCCATGACTTAGGCAAACCCCGGCCGTGGCTCTCAGGATTGCCTTGGGTGCATTTTGCCGCAAGCCGTCACGAGCGTGTCGTCCACGTAGTACGTGACGGCGACACCTTCCAGGAAGGCACCACGAAGCACCCAGTCGTAGCCGATGTTCCACAAAAGTGGTCCTGATACCGACCCCTGTGGAACACCGCACGACATTTACGTCCACCGAGACCGGCCCTACTTGGGTACCCCTGACGGAAACCGTACTGGTTGTCCGCCAGATCCAGGCCCCACTATGACGAGATGCTTTCGCTACTCTTTCGAACTTTCGGTAGGCGGATGGTGAGTCCGCCGGGCGCCCCTTCTTTCGGATGAGGACCAGTTTCCCCGTCTTCCACAATTTCGGAAACCTGTCCCCTCTCTGTCGGGGCTCAAGCGCTACGTCATCTAAGGCCAGGCTTCATCCACGCTTGGCCTAGAATGCCATCAGGTCCTGGGGCGGTGTTTTGGCTTTAAGCCGTATCACCGCCACCCTTGGTTCTGCCCAAGTGACGACGACGTGCCCTCAGGCACGTCGTCGTCATCCACGTTAGGCGCCTCGAACGCCGAAGGTGTAGCCATCTGTGGTGGGATGTGTTCCATCACTTGCGATGGGAACAGGGAGCCCACAACCCCTTCAAGCAGTTCTAGCTGAAGCCACCATACCTTAGGGGCGTCCCCACGGATCCCGCTCCAGTGTCTCCAGCAACTCGCGACAAACTGCCTTGCTGCTGTCCTCTTGGCAAAACTGTATCCCGATAATAGCACTGCCTCTCGGGTCGCCGCATCTATGGCGGCTATAAATTGTCCAAATTACGAAAGAAATGGTAGTCCCTAGTAGTAGTAGTTAACTGCTGCTCCTGTATAGTTACTCCGTTTCGGTTTCTCGTGAAGTGTGAGGTCTTGCGTTATCATGGAGCAATAATGGTGAAGATCGATTCACGTGTCGGGGCTGTTTCACTGTCAGTTTCGCCATCATTGTTCCAAGTTCGCCATAGTAAACATCTGCTGTTATTCCCTTACCAGACCTGAGAAAGGACTTAGGGCACTGTTGCTTCGTTTGACCTGGGGTCAGCCACTGCATTTTTCGGTTATCGTAAACAATCCACTTTTCGTCACAATTCAAACCAATATTCCTTCAATTCTGTACCGATTCAACAAGGCAACATAAGTTTCACGCATTTCTTTCTGCAGATCAGTCGAATCATGAGGCACCCATTTTTCATTCTTTTTATTTTATTGATTTGATGTAAATGAGTCAATATTGTAGGTAGGGTAACGTTAGGCCATGCTGCTAATTCCTGGGTAGTTTGACTCGGTTCGGCTTCCAACATCCCATTCAGCGTTATTCACCTGTGTGGCGGTCTTCCAGGTGGTTCCTTCTTCAAGTCGAAATTCCATTAAGAAAGCATTTAAACCAAAAAACGTACGATGCATTCATTAGCAGTCTCCTCTTCAAACGCAGCGTTGATAATTCAAGCCGCGTCGGAACTCGTATTAAAAAATGACTTGGATTTTTGAAGTATCCATGTTTCACATCTAAGCTGAATAAAAAAAACAAGTGAAAGTCGAAAATCGAATGTTGTCACATTTTTTAAAAGAAGAATCTCATTATCCTGTGACAAAAGTTTCACACGAAAATCTTCCACCATGAAGGTTATATGACAATTCTAAGTATATATTACTATACAACGGCAATTTCATACTTTAACCCCTATTATTTTTAAGATTAAAAGGTGAAATGTATTCCATTACGCGTTCTTCTAAGAAAATCACTATTTAAAATGAGAATTCAGAAATGCATTCGGCGGCGGAAATGGTTCGGCTCCGTCAATGTACTTTCATATAATCCGTCTTGGTCATTAGTCTGCACCGATCACAATTATATGGTGTACATACATTTACAAGTCTGCATTATCCTATTATTCCCTTTTCATTTTTACTGTAATTAGTTAAGAGCTTACAACATACATTTACAACATCATTATACTGGTTTAATATAAGCCGCATTAATTATATATTATCCGGTAATTTGGCATTGAATAACTAATAATGAATTTAATTAATAATAATAATGATATTAAATATAGAAATAATATTAAACACGAAAATATGATTTACATTTTAGGTTTCTTCCACGGTCACCATACAACGAGTGGGTACGATGGTGGCAAAATCTTTCAGTATTTGTAATTCCTACAAAGAGGTAAATTAGTTTCTTTTACCACTTGTAATGCATATTATAGAACCAAAACATACTTTATTTATATTAAAACGTGGCCAAAACCATAAACCATAAAAATAATATGTTACGTCACGATATGCATTGTAAGTTACAATAAGTTTGCTATACGAGGTATTGAAGCATGCACAGGCATTTACTCGTACACTGAGATATGTAATATAGCTATGATCAAATAGTGGAAACCCTGCCTCTTGTACTAGGTGCGCAAGGACACTGTAGCGCAAGGGACAATGTACAACCATAGAACGAAGTAATTATTTTTATTAGTAAAACAAATATATAGTTGTACAGATACTGACACAAAAAAAATTAATCCACATAAAGAAATAAGTATTTTTACCAAATTCTGACCTGGATCTGACAGGACCCTTAAACAAGAATCAACCGACTTATCATAAAGGCGTCAGTCTTTGTATAACCATATTTTTAGAGAAGATCAGAGCCGTTGTCCTCGTGATAATGCCTGGAAGTCCGACCCCTCTTACTTTCTCATATGATTATTATAGTCCTTTGATGACGATTTAAAACTAACTTAGCTACTACTAACTAGCAAATGTAACGAACCCTTTGTATTATAAGTAGTTACGCTTCACTGTTAAGATACTTCCAATGACAGGAATCTTAAAGTTAAAGTTAAAATGAATATGCTAACGAACATGTACCAACAACAACAGTAAAGTAACCTAATTCAGCTTTAAAATGATCCGCCTTAAACCTATTGAAACATTTTTTTAACACTTTCTAGGCTTACAAATAAAAAAAAAAATTGTCCTAAATTTGAATATTCTAGCGTTTGAAAGAATTCAAAACAATGTAATTCAAACATCCTTATTAATTTTCAGGCTGGATTCAAATGCATTGGGTGCCATGAACGTCTCGTATGCTTACCATTTAATATAGGATTTACATGGACTTGTGGACATATACACCCTTACTGCAATAACGGATTTTGTTCAAAGACAATGGGTTCAATGTGCACTAGTGAGACCACCGACATGAGTGCTTCATCTGCGACTCCCTCAGCTTCAGAAGGGAATGCCACTGCTTGCACTTCTGAATCAAGTAGAACTTTCAGCGATATTGATATGTAAACATTCAGACGATTATATGTGCATTTTAATAAACTTAAAATGATTTTTTGAAGATAAAAAAATTTATTGTATAAATCCTACATACAGTTTATCATCCGTATGGTGACGGATTAAGAATAAGGAATATATCATCCCGAGGGTGTCGTACGAGCCGACTAAGGGAGCAAACTACGCAAGATCGCTAAGAAAATATGACTATGATATTTCAGACTAATTTAAGGATTCCGTAAATTTAAAGATTCCGCGTGATGACGGATCAAGAATACGGAGTGTCACCACCCATATTCATCCCGTAAGTGACGTAAGAGCCAACTATGAGAGCAAGCTACGCAGGACAACAGCACTGCAAAGAGAAGGATAACTTGAAACAAACCCTTTTTTTTTAACGTGTGGAAATCCCCTCGGACCGTCACCCCTCCGGGGTTTGCGGCGGGGTGGTGTGTCGGACTCGGACCGACTAAAACCACACGGTGTGCCACTCTGCGCCTGTAACAGGAGGGATCCGGGAACAGCTGTTATTGGTGGTGCTCCCCTGATTAAAAGGGTGTATGCCCATTTTACTTCATTTTGTCTCCCGCTTTGCTAAGGAGGGAAGTGGATTTACTGTATTTCCAACTCCTCCAATTTTCTTCTGATTAATTTCGTTGCGGGTTCCAAGACAGTTTAATTTCTTCCTGGGACTTCCCGAGTGTCATAACTCGGTGTGTTCGTGGGTCACTGCTGTGGATCCTGGTGTATAGGAGTTACAGTGGTGGGCGTGTGGGTGGGATTAGTCCCAATTAAAAAAAAAAAAAAAAAACAGCTGTTATTAAGACATCCGGACCCCTCCTAGCGCCAGCCCGCTCCTGGTGCGGGCTCCGTCTCAAAATTTTTCCTCTCTTTAGGTGACGTCCGGCACCCGCGGACGCCGCCCCCTCGCGGCTGGCCAAACTAATGCGGGTGGAGGGGAAACCCACCCCGTCCACCCGCGGCCACACTCAGGGCGGCATGAGGCGGTGATAGGCGCGCCTCCGCCGCCCGGTTCGCCGGCGGCGGATCGGGTCCGAGTGGAGGTCGTCCTCCCGGGCCTTCTCCGCCGCCTCCTTCTGCGAGATTACTTCCTCGCAGAAGGTTGCGACCGCGGTAAAACAACTGTCGCTACCGGCCATGGAGCGTACTACGGCCGGTAGCGAGAGATCCACTCCGATGACTGCAGTGAGGTCCCGGCGCTGTGTCGCCCATGCGGGGCAGACCGCCAGCGTGTGATGGGCCGAGTCCTCACTGCAGTCGCAGTGGTGGCAGGCGGGACTCAGTTCCCTCCTAGCGACCGAGTGCAGGTACTTTCCGAAGCAACCGTGCCCGGAAAGCACCTGCGTCAGCCGGAAGGAAAGGGTCCCGTGCTGCCGCCCCGCCCACTCGGCGATGACCGGCTGGAGAGCCTGCACGGCGGCGAAGCCAGCGCGTGGAGTCTCCAGCCGGAACGACCAACGAGCCATCGTGGCTCGGCGAGCGGCTTCGCGCCACTCGCGCACATCCTCGGGCGGAGGGCGAAATCCGCTCTCCGCCCGGGAGTCAGCCACTCGCCGATAAACTTCGGCGAGTACTTCCGCCTCCAAATCCCACGGGGGAGTTCCGGCCAACGCGCATGCCACCTCCGTCGAAACGGTGCGGTAACCGCGTATGGCTCTGACCGCCATTACCCTCTGAGGGAACTTGAAACAAACCCTATACCAACCCGTCTGGCCAGCGAGGTATAGTAGGCCAAAACCTCTTTTCTAAGTAGAGGCCTATACCCAGTGGACTACTGGAGGCTGTTGATGATGATGATGATGATGAATTTAAGACAACAATTTAAGATCAATTAATGTATTATAACATTCACATATCAAACATAACGGAGAGTGTAAGTGGGTTATTGTTTCTCGGTTCTTCATCCATCGTAGATGAAAATAGATGTAGGAAATAAGATTGAGTATGCACTTAACAGGTAAAATTACAACCAATTAACAAGGAACCACACTTAAATATACACACGTGGCTTAGATGTGATCGGATTATTTTAGGAATGCGGTGAAGTCGGATAGATTGGCTCCACCACCTCATGTTCAAAATGACAGCGAGCTGTTAACCATTGTGTTGCCAATTACCCCATCCGAATACGTCCAAATCGATTAGACTTGACGTACCGTTCCACGTTCTCCGACACGGCCATCCTGACACGTCACACGTCCCTGTGTGATGGATGCTCCTCTGAAAGAGATAACCATCTGAAATACCATAAGGTGTTCGCTCAATGCATCCTTATAAAAGTTAAGTTTAAGGATCAACTAACCCTTTAACTTCATTAACGTAACAAATTAGAATACTAGTTGTAAATACAAAGGTCATTTCAAACAGTATTATTAGAATGGTATCACAATAATCACAATACAGAACTCTTACTAATTCTTCTTGATAGTATGGGTGAACGGCATCATAGCTGTAAATAATATCAAATCAATTAACCCACAAAAATGTCGTTACTATCACCTATATTGAACGATAGTAACTCATGTCACCTCCATCGAGTGACGATAACCATCCACAAAAAGTTTCGTTACTACATACTAAATCGGGTGATAGTAACTCATGCCACCTCCATCGAGTGACGATATCCACAACTCCACGGGTCACCTCTATCGAGTAATTCTTAAATTACGTGTTGCCTCCATCGAACAAGAAAGCGAACACATCATAAAAACCGAGCGATATGCTCCTTTGCCAAAACAGAAAAAAGACAATCAGTTACACCATGATCATTGGACTCTACGTCTTCCACATCACTAGAATCAAGAAAGGAATCATTGCTAGGCATTTTTCATAATCGGTCAGGGGCGTACTTATAGGTACGCTTCGAATCTAAGGCTTTCAAAACGTACTGTCGTTCTCCAACACTTCAATAACCTTAAACGGTCCCTTACCATGAGAACAAGCTTCGTTCTCGATTTAAAAAAAAATCGCTACTCGCCCCTAAAGAAAAAGGAACGATCTTAGCATTTGTCCTGTCGAACCAAAACTTGTCAAAGTCAGCATTTTTGTAAATGTTAGTCACCGTGTTCGATCACACCTCCTCTAAGTCAACGTCTAGTTCTGCTTCCTCAGCTAACATTACTTCCAATGGTCTACTACTAACCGCAATTGATTAAGCGCCGCGGTTTATTGTACGGAGATCGGGGAGAACATCCTGCCGCGAACCATCAGAACTTTCAACTCATCGTCATCTCAGCCGAAGGACGTCCACTGCTGGACATAGGCCTCAAAGGGTTCGCCACAACAACCTAACCTGTGCTGCCCGCATCCAAGAGTTGCCCGCGACCTTCACCAGGTCATTGGATGAACTTGTGGTCTACCCAAGTTTCAACTGCTGTAAGCATAATTTTAAGAGTGGACACGACACGTTCTATTTGACCTTTGGCTAGTGATCTTCCAATAACGATTAAATGCAATTAGATACTAACTGAATCACAATAGTTACGAAAATTCTGCCTCTCCAAACAACGACCCTGATCCGCTATAAGTCGTATTAGAGCACCGAGAAAAGCGACAGTGTTTTATTGCTCTAATACTGCTGACGGTATGTATGACAGTATGGCGAGTGTAACGCAATATCCCGCTGCGCTTGCCTGTGGAATCTATATGCAACGTGTGCCAAGGAACTGCTACTTTAAGTATGAAGCGCAACTCTGATTAGACCTTACCTTACCTTCAGATTTAGATTCGCAAACGATAAAATTTCAATTTGTTAAATATCATATTAACAGCTATATCTAATGCTAGCACTTCTTCTTCACTCTTAGTCCAATCATTATATCATTCTATAAACGATGATCGGATAGTACATAAAAAGAACATCTACGGGAATATCATCAATCCCAATCCGTGATTCAATTTATAAACTATTACTTATCGCGTTTTTTTATAAAGGATAATACCATATTATTATTAAACCGTTTTCCATGAAATTTACAAGCTATAGACTCTCTCATTAACGATCAATCGGCTTCGGAAGCAGAACAGAAGCTGTTAATTCACGAAAAGCCACGTTCGTCACAAAGATTACACTTGCCACAGAGGTTACACTTACCATAGAGGTTACACTTGCCACAGAGGTTACTTTGTACAGAAGTTACATTTACCACAAAGGCTACATTTACCACAAAAGTTATATTCGTTACTCAGACCATTATCACGGCTACTATTCCCACCTAGGCTCTTGCCACGTAGGCTTTCGCAACGAATGTCATTACCACAGGCTGTTACCACACAGGCCATTATCACACTGGCCATTGGCTTGTCAGATACAACATGAAATAATAACTGAACGGCATTACCTTCTATCGTGACAGTTGATAGAGGTTGTTCGTTAAATTTTAAACTACACTCGGTTCCAAAAATTACGGGTCAGTCACAAAAATTGAAATACCTCCAGAACTGTAAAAGTAGATCAATAAAATAAAAAACAGAATAAAGACTTTTTAGTTGCGCTTCTAATAGCATATTATTTAAACTGGTTGATGAAAAAAACTTCATTAGAAAAACAAAATTTAAAAAATGACTATTTTTAAAAACAAAATTTTTGTTTCATTTCATTATAGATGCTTTCCATTTCTATTCTGTCACAAAAAAAAATATCGTGAACGTCTTCCACGTGCATAATTATTATTCTGTGAGGTGAAGCATGGCAGTCACGCTAGAGGAATGTACCAGAATCCTAACTTTTTTGGAACTTGGGCGGAGCCAGCGTGAAACAGCCAGAAACATTGGTGTATCTTTGTCGACTGTTCAGCGGGTAGTCCAGCGGTACCAAGAGACCGGATCACACCTTAGAAGACCAGGAAATGGCAGACCAAGATGCACAACGGCCAGGGAAGACAGACAACTGGTGGCTACAATGCTCAGAAATCGTTTTCAAACTGCTGTTGGTCTAAAAACTCACTTTATTCGCTTTGGAGGTGGCAATTTAAGCGCTCAAACAGTAAGAA